AAATTACCTGTCGTCGTCTAAGTTTGTAATCCATTTCGAAACAAATTCGTTGACTTTGTCACTTAGCCAATTTGGAGATCTCACACTTTTCCTTTAACAACGCATTACCGTTTATTTTGTTTCTTTTTGTTATTTAGTAAACTTTGAACTGGTGATATTTGCAATTTATTAGGTACCTTTCTTACTTTTATGCAATACAATTCTTAATGAAATCTGTCGAATGAGTCCAATTAAAGTTAATGAGAAATGTTGTAGTTATAGTTTCGTTTCAGATGGTTTTGATAAGTCTTGATGTGTTAGTTTTTCAAGGTGATTTGTTGCAGTTTACAACTTTGCATTTATAAATGCATAAAAATTGCTCATTACTTCTTATATTCAAATGGTCGACCTTGAACATGAATGCACTGATTTCTGTCCCCGAACGACAATTCCAACCTTCTTGTAAAAGTTCACCTCTTATTTGTTGGAAAGCATCCCGCATGCGATTCTTCATATTGCCAAGAATGGATGGTCCTTCTCGATAAAGTCCCATAGAAAAAATTCTGAAGAAACTGGACAAATTCGGTGTTCATTATAAGATTCTCTGTTTGAAATAAAAGAAATTTTATTTGACATATTTTCTCAAATAATCCATACTTTAAGAGATAGCTTAGGTAAACATTGACAAATGAAAATCCAGCTCCACTGACATTGACCTTGAGCGCTAAGAGATCTTAATCGTCAGTGTTCGGTAAAAAATGATTAACTCTTTGCACAGGAATGTTTATCGCTACATACGTCCATCACTCTTTAATACTGATGGAAGTATTGATTGTATTAAATAGAAATAATACACGAATGAAGAGGTACAGCTATTTTATTTCAGTATTTTATGTTTAATTGGGCTGGATAACGATTGACGTTGAATATTGAATTTTATAATTTTGTTATATCAAATTAAGTAGCGACTGTGAGTTGTCTCTCGACAGCAAAGAGTTAATAGAAATATATTATTACATAATGATATGTTTTGTAAGGGATATGATTCTTGTTCAAAGTAGTGACAGTATTACTTCAAATTTCATGGATATTTATTTAACCCAAACCAATACCAATACCTTTTGATTAAAGGGAGCAGGTTATCTTTCTCAGTTATTGGTTTGAGCTAAATAAATACTCCACAAAGAACACTGTTAATAAATTCTGTATCGGTATATTCGTAATATATACTCTGTATTCTTATCTGAAAACCTTCTCTCAATATTTACAGTAATTCATGTTCATACCTTATGTTCTGCATTTGTGAATTGTTACGATGATAGTCGTGTTTAGTTGTTCCAAATGTAATATATTTATGTTAATATTTATATTTATAACGTAAATATAAAATTAAAATTGTCCTTTAATATAACTAGAAACAATTGATCACAGGATCAATCTGTGAATCATTATAATTTTACATTATGATTATGATGTTATGAAGATTAAATTTATATTTATAAATTATAAAGCCGACAGTACTCTCCATACATACATATGCATATGAAATCAAACTTGAAGTTACGACGTGAACATTATTTTTCATGCAGGCTGTAGAGAAAGTGCTTACAATTTAATAACAGCTCAATTTCGAGATTTACATTTAACAATATTTTATATATATGAATGAGTGAAGAATAATGTAAAGGATTAACTCATCATACTTTATTACTAGGATTCATAATGAATTCTATTTTGATGTATGAAAGAAGGGCCTTTGGATGTAGACCCGACGCACAGTGGGGGGTCTTTGTCCGATTTGAGCAGCCACAATTAAATACAGGTTTATATTAAATTTTTACAAGAAAATATGAGAATGTAATATAATAATATACAATAATATGCATTTATATGGCTTTTTTAATTTATCAATTTTCTGAATATTTTCTATACTAGTGAGTAAAATTGACAAATCACAATATTTCTGTTGAAAAATTGCTGAAGTTGAAAGTGATATTTTATTAGAGGAACGCGGAAGGCTCGCGTTTCACTTAATGTATTGCGGATGGCGGTCGTTGACGAATTCGGGCTCTTTCGCGCTAAAAGTGAAAGGAAACTTACTCATTTATTCCATAGAACTTCATAAAAATGCAACTTTCATTGATTCACGAACGTAAATATTTTTATAAGTACATTTACTGTATAAAGTACATCTATAAAATTTATATAAGAAATTAGTTTGATTAATTATACAGTTGTAGAAAATTCTCCGATGTATTATATATAGCAATAGTTTTTATTTTAGTAATCGAAATTTTGACAAATAAAATTGGAGTTCGATATACATTTTTATTTAAACTATAAGATTTCTAACAAAATTGTTAAGCATTCAGGATTAAAATCTATAGTATACTTTTTAGTATTATTTTGAACTTGGATATAATGACTTTGCTCAAGTCTGTGCAAATAAATACGAATAAATAAATAAAAAACGTATTCTTTTTTCTTTTTTTGTCTCAATATTACATTATTGTATGTACTTGTAATTTCTTATAGATTTTTGTCAGAATATTAAACAGAATTTGTAATTTTAAAGTACAATACAATGTGAATATTAAAGATGCACACAATTTACTTGCATAATATGATCGGCGAAATTCGTTTACTCTGTTTTTGTTCACAAATCATCGTTTTACGAACAATTAATTTTTATATCTTGAAAAACCAAAGCTGTTGTCCCATAGATATTTTGAAAATCATTTTTCATGACATTTGTAATCACTAATCTGTAAAGTGCATATCTTGTAACGTGAATAAATACCATAAAACAATTTTCCTTGCCTTCGAGCTCGGAAAGTTGCCATTTTTCCGGTTATTTTAATTATGCACCGGAGTAGCGAACATACTAAAAAATAAAAAAGTATAACAACTCTCTCCATAATCCCCGAAGAACATAAATACTGTCTAAGTACTTACCTGTCGATAATTACATATTCCGCATTGAAATTACAAAATTATCGCAGCTAAAATTAGCCTACCATGATCCTTTTGCATAATATATTGTAATGAGGATAATAGTATATAGTTGGCCAGGTTTCATCATGAGAAGGTTGCTGCGGGTGGAGAACCGGGGGGGGTGGAAGGAAATTGAATTCCATCGACTTCCCTTCCTAATTCCAAATCTTATTTTTAACGCACTTATTGTTATCGCATTTATTATTATTATACTTTCTCATTCCACGACCGCTGTTTTTTCTTGAGTCTGAAAGGTAGTATCCCACGGCGGATGATCTACGTCTCCTTTCGAAGACTTAATTTTAACTTAGTTTAACCTTAAAGGATAATCTAAATTACACCGTCATCGCAGTAAAGGGTGTGAATCAAGGAAGAAATCCATGATTCGAGCATGAGACGATACAGAGAAGTCTCAACAAAAGTAAAACGAAGGGATACAAGGTTAATTCTAACTTAGTTTAGCTTCATAAAACTATACACGGACCACAGTATGTCGAGCAATTATCGGGCCAAGAAGCAAAGGCAGCGAATCAAGAAAGTCCTTGATTCGACAATGAGAAAACGCAGATAAGTCTCTGATTAAAAAAGAGCAATGTGGGGGTGTCGTGTTTTCTTGGGATATTTTAATGTCAACAGCATACTATTCATTCATAGTTCAATAAAATGGTAATACAAATCGTATTTCAAGTTTCAAGGAATTATTGTAAAGAGGTAATTCCAATCTTCCAATATATGGTAGAGATACTCGCGAAACAAATTTTTTCAATATTTGCAGAGATGTTCGATGTAGAAAATTTTTATAACGCAAAAGTATGTTCACTTTACCATTGGTTGTACAATGTATACAAACATTTTACATTAAAACTCAACTCATTGCAAAAGTAGAAACTTCATGTCTTAAAATGAGCTACAGTTTCTTTTCAGAAAGTTACAACAGTCTGAATATCGACAGTTTCCACAGGAAATGTGATCTCTTCATTTTTCATACTAGTGTATATTTATTATTTAAATCTGGAGTGCGACCTATG